TTTTTTAACTTTATCATTTCATATTAAATTGATTCAATATTAAATTTGATAGATTATCTTAATAAATTCAAGCTGAAGTTATTAAGGTTTCAAAATAACATCTTGATATTTCTACACAACTTTATAATGTTTTTTTACCCTTTATAATTTTATTTTATTTTATATTTCTCCTTAAAATTAATGTATTTAAAGTGTGGGTTCGAAAAACAAATTTAACTAGGTACATGCCTCATTAATCTTCATTAATAAATCATAAAGAGAACTCAGAGACAGCTCGGAAGTTCTACTAAAAGATCAAAAAGGTTGAAATCCTCTAACTGTTGATGTGAAATCGGTAATCATAAAGAAATGAGGATGATCCTTGATCGGCTATCCATGTTTGAATGATTAAACTTGAGTTAACTTAAAGAAAATTAAATCACACCAAATCATGCAGCCGACAAACGCTAAGCATAATTAATTATTCGCCACCCTGATGAACGATCTGCATTTCTATTTTTTTATTTTTTTCTCATGCATCTTATAACTCAATATGACTGGCAACCACGTCCACCACCATTACTCCACCTGTTTTTGTTTTCGAAATGTTATTTCCAGCTTTTCTCCAGACATCCTGCGCTGGCTAGTTTTTTAGTTTGGAACAAGATTCTTTTTTCAGACATTATAAAACTTAGCCAGGTCGAATCTTTTGGTTTTAGGAAAAATAAGGAAGATTTGAAATCTTCACTGGAGTTAAAATTATTAGATTAAGACTTGTGATGCGTGATAATGTCATGTTTAATATCAATCAGATCTGACATTTGTCTGTTAGTTTAAAGGAGATTGATATTAAAATTTGATGGAATTAAGGACTAAGATTCAAATGTTAATTTTTAATGTAAGAACAAGGTGAGAGCACTGTCAGCACATTTTTTTAGTTCGTGGACAGAAAAAATTAACCAGCACATACATTTATTCAGATAAATCTAGAATTATATATTTGCTCATATAAATGTTAAAAATCCTATCAAGAAAACTTGAAAACTAGCTTTATAATTTTTCAAATTTATATGGAGTTTAGAATACATATTATAGAGTTTTTTTTTACTGTTTTTCTTCACAAGTTTTTCAATTTCTTTCAAATTAAAAAAAAATACATTAACAATACAATTTTCTTTCTTATATACAAGCAATTTTTAGCAATATGATTTTTTTTGTGTTTTCATATTTAGTTAATATTATAAATTTATACTTTATTATAAATATTTGTTAACTGAAAATAATATATTTTTATAATAGATATTAATTTGAATAAACAAAATTAATATTTCACAATTAGATTATTATAAATAAAAAATATTAAAAATATATTTTTGATTTTTTTATAAAAAACATTTATAATCATGATGTATTTCTAAGTGTAAGAATCAAACTTCATTATAAACAAATGAATACATATTTCAATTTTACTTTGAAAAAAAATAGTTTTCCTAGTGAAACTGACCCTAAAATTTCTTACCACTTCTTATTTTATTGTAGCAAGTTTTAGTAATTATAGCTTACATGCATTGAACTTGAAGATTAGATCAGAGAAGATATCCAAACCAGAAAGCAATAGCATGGAGAAGAGATGGTCTCTCCAAGGAATGACGGCTCTTGTCACTGGTGGAACCAAAGGGATTGGGTAATCATCTCTAATTTTCCTTCTCCTCTTGAACACCTTGCTTCCTTTAGTTCTAGCTCACAGTCATCGCTAGCTTATATATTCCTGATTTTGGGCTCCATTGTATAGACATTTATCAGCTTACCGTTGGAATCAGTCATAACAGCAACACTTGTTTGCTAATGCATTATGAACAGTTATGCTGTTGTGGACGAGTTGGCAGCGCTAGGGGCAATCGTGCATACATGTGCGAGGAACAAAGACCAGCTCAATGAACGCATCCGTGAATGGAATGAGAAGGGTTTTAAAGTTACTGGTTCAGTCTGTGATGTATCCTCTGATGCTGAAAGAGAGAAGCTGATGGAGGAGGTTTCCTCTCGCTTTGATGGTAAACTTAATATCCTTGTGAGTAAAATCCAACTCTGTTTCTTTCTTGTTTCTTAACGCATTCACAGTACTCGAAGAAGGGCTAGTAATATTATGAGGGAAGTTCTACAGGGCCTTTGGTATAAAACAATAGGCATTTTTTATGGGAAAAGAGAACTGCGATTGATAGCTGTTCCAATGATCCTAAGAAAGTTTCAAGGAAAGTGAAAATGAAAACAGTTATTAATATAACTTAATTAAGAACCCTTATTTGTTGTAGCATAAATGCATATAACTTGATTGTGCACAAATAAGTATTGTTTTATTAATTTCAATCAATAGCCTTTTAAACTCTTCCAAATCTCCAGGTAAACAATGCTGGGACAAACATATATAAAGCGACCTTAGATTACACAGCTGAGGATTTCACATCTCTCATGAACACAAACCTTCAATCTGCTTTCCATTTGTCCCAACTTGCACATCCCCTTTTGAAAGCTTCAGGTGCTGGAAAGATTGTCTTCATGTCTTCTATTGGTAGTGTGGTATCTGTAAACACTCAGTATCCTGTGTATTCAGCTTCTAAAGGTACTTAACTACTTCTCTAGACCTGTTTTCTCATTTTAATTTTCCTTCTGTTTCTACTGCAAAACCTTGTTCTCTTAGGACCTGTCATGACATGTATACTGCAGGTGCAATGAACCAACTTACAAGGAATTTGGCGTGCGAATGGGCTAAGGACAATATAAGGGTTAACGCAGTTGCTCCCTGGTTCATACGAACTCCTCTCACAACACCTGTACAACATTCTACAAACTCACGAGTTCTCTAATTAATGTTTGATCTCCTTTCTACATGTTTTTCCCATTCAATTCTCATTGCACAAGTGCAACAACATAGGTGGATTGTTCTGAACTAACGCGAGACGCTCAGTTCAGCAATATGATTATCTTATCGAACATTTTTATTGCTTCAGTTCTGCAATAATCAGTCTTAGGAGCTAGGTGAATTAGATTAATTAACGTCAGCAACACATTTGTTATTATCAAGCTAGTTTTTCTGTGATCATGAGTTATCTAATGCTTTTCCTTAACCATTCAGAGTCTGGATGATGAGAACATTCTGAAGGAGGTTTTCAATCGAACCCCCATGAAACGCGTTGGGGAACCAGGGGAGGTCTCATCTGTTGTCGCCTTTCTATGCTTGCCTGCACCAGGTTTCTTAACAGGACAAGTCATATGCATTGATGGAGGGATGTCAGTGAATGGCTTTTCCATGGGTTGAAAATCAGCTGCTCTGAGGCGTGAATTCATCTACTTGTAGGATTGAATAAGACAGTCTTATTGCCCTTTGATGATGTTTTTAACTATCCTGCCAAATAAGAGGATTGTCTCAACCTCTCAATGACTTGGAGCTAATTTAATATTATTTATTTGAGTGTTTTCCATGGTCAATAAACTATTTTTTCAATTAATATTGTCTTTGATGATGTTGTGAACTGTCCGGTCATATAAGAGGATTTTTTCAGCCTCTCAATGATGACTTGAAGCCAATTTAATATTATTTATTTGGGTGTTTTTAATGATCAATAAACTATCATTTCCATTAATACTAGTTTATTTTCAAAGAATATGGGAAGATTGGATGCAACTTTAAATTAGTCGGGTCATTTGACTCCACTACTGCAATTTAAATTTTACAACATTTATACAT